CCCAAACCAGGAACTTGTAAGCACATCACAGCCTTGAAGCACAAGTTAAAGCCACAAAACACCTAAAAACTGAAAGTCTTGCCCAGCTGTGAACACACTCTGTGTGTGTTCAGAGTTAGACTGAAAGTGGGATGTGAGAGATGGGATTTACTGTGGTAAGGGGGGGCTTTCCAATTGTTTTGTGGGCATTTTGGAAAAGTCCACACTGTTAGACCTGTAGCTGACTTCTATTTATCTGCCTTTCTAAAGTCTGCCTGCTGTAGATCTGGTCCAAAACTGAGCACTGGAAGTAAACTATGCAATTACTTTAAATATTTTTTCCTTGTAAGTTACTTGTAAACCTGTCTTTATTTCCACAGATGTATTTTCCATTCAAGGTACTCATGAAGCAACTCCTGCCAAAAAATTTCAGTGTAGGGCCTGTTTTCCAGAATGATTATTTTAGCTGTTTACTCTTTTTACTTTTGAAGTATGAATGATTCCCTAAATGGTGAGGTATTACTTCTGCTTCTCATCCCAGAGGATTGTATTTTTTTTTTTTAATCCAAAGAGTAAGAAACTATAAAAAGAAAGACACAACATACAATATATGACCTCTTTTCCAGTATGAACACAGATGACATTTCATCCAGCACACATCCCTTAAACACCCATATGTACAGAAGGAACACCCCTGCAAGAAAATATAAAAACGTAAATCTAATAAAACTGTGGAGCCATTTAGTATCAGCTGCTGTGCTGGGAGTGGTGGAATGGTGTTGTCTCAGTCACCCCCATTCAAAGAATGGGACATTGGCTTAAATCACCAATGAAACAGGGTTGTGTTGAGATGTCAGATCGTGAGCTGCAGCAGCTGAGGTACGCAGCTGAACAGATTTAATGGGCCTTTTGCTGCCGGAAAGAACTGTCCTGCATGGCTCCCTCCTCCCTTCTTCCCCCTGCAAATCTCTGTGAAAGGGTTGGAGGCTAGTCAGGAGGGCAATAGCATAAACAAGTACAGGCAAATCAGCCAGAGTGTTTCTATCAAAGCCATACTTCTAATTTGTAAACCTGTGTTTCCTGAAGTATGAGGAAATTGGTGATGGGGTCTTGTTGGATTGTTTTGTTTCTATCCCAAATGTGTTTTTCAGATCCCAGCTATCTCAGGATGTACTCTGCTGTACCTCACCAGGATACTGCTCTCTGTCTGGTTTCTTGTCAGTGACAGGTGTTTAATAGAGGAAGGTGAAAGTTTCACTTGGAAGCCACAACTAAGAGATGTCTGGGGAGAAAAATGCATCATTCAGATTAAATAATGTCAAAGTTTTACCTTTTAATAGGTAAACTAACATTTTGAATTAAAATACGTTCATTCCAGTTTTATTTACTTTCTTAGCACTTGTCTGGCTGGCATAAATCATGTAAGGCTGCACAGTCTTGTGTCTTTTTTCCATTTCAGCACCATTTCCTTTTTGCATCTCTCTCTACACCATTTGAGGTTTTGCTGGTCTTCCTAGAAGTCAGAATGGGAAAACAGACTCCTTGGAAACACACAGAACAAGAGAATTTTTGTAAGGGAGAAAGTGGATTAATGGGAGATACTTCTTGCTGTTAAAAAGCAGTCATAGGTGCCACTTAGAGAGAGCTGGTATCTAATTTCTCTAATGCAAGCTGCCTCTTGTAGTCTGGTCAGCAATTGTGCCACAGCCTGTAGGGAACTGAAAAGTTCCAATATTTATTTTTATCCTGCTATTGGCTTATGGAATTTGAAGGTACCTTTTTTAGCTTGCATAACTGTAAATATTGTTACTGGACCTCCCGACCTCTTTTCTATGTTTGTTCGCCCCAATATTTGACCTCCTAACCTGCCCCAGGAGATGGCAAATTCCACAGGCTGATGACATGCTGGATGTGGGAGTCCTGTTACAGACACTTTCAATTTTGCTGATTGAGCTCCTGTTCATGCTTCAGAATAAGCAAAAAGAAAACCAAAAAAAAAAACGTTGGGGATTGATCAGTTCTCCTTAGAGCCTTCTTAAATCTTGATGGCCTTTTCCTGCTGTCTCCTACATGAGGACAAAGGTCCATTGTTTTTATTTTAGCTACCTGCCTAGCCTGTCCATGTTGTGTAAGAAATGTTAGGAGGTACTGGCAACTGCTTCAGACACAGGACCCTCAGTCTATAAATAAAAATTCCTATTTCTGTATTGTATCATAGTCAGCTTTCATGACTGCTCCTGCTATTTCATCCAGGAGCTCTTTGAGGAGGAGTGAGTCAGGCGTTACAGCGTGCAGTGCGCATTCCCCGAGATCTTCCTAAACCCACAGCTGGAAACTTCCCAGAAGATACCTGCTCTGCATTCACTGCTCAGAGCAGGGACTCAAAAGAGGGTTTTAAATGTGCTTTCCACTGAAAACCACTTTTTTTTTTTTTTTTTTTTTTTTTTTTTTTTTTTTTTCCTCTGCCACTGACCACTCCTCCCCTTACCTCACACTTGTCAAGTCACATCATTTACAGGACTCTCTGCTTGTCTCAGCTATTGTCCTGAATCCTAATTCAGGATTCTGCCAAATACACCAATTTGTCATGAACAAATGATTTGGGATTTAGATCACTTCAAGAATCATCGTCAAAGATATTTGTGAAAGTGGTTTTAATATGATGTTGTAAAAATGTGACTTAAAATGTTCGATGGCAAGCTTCAGTCTGTTATTATACAGCACAATCATTTGAACAATGATTTGAAACTACCAAGGCACAAGAAAAAACAGTTACTGAGATAAAATCAAAGTTACCAGGGCAGAAATCAAAGTTATCATACTACAGGGTTATGTGCAGCATCAATCACTTACCAGAGATCTGCTGCTGGTAAAAGGTCTCTGCTTTGAGAGGCAGCCTTGAGGGTTGTCACAGTGCAAGGGGAAATCACTGCCATGCAGTCAGGCTGCTTAGCCAGGAGAGCTCAAAGAAGGCTCACTCAGGCCTTTATTTATAGAATAAAGTGGTTGGCTTGCAGTCAAATTACATGTGATAGTAAAGGTATGTATGAGACTCCTTGTACCCACAACTTACTTTGTTCCTTGATAAATGAGTCTTGGAAAAGTTGCTCACTATTCATGTGTTAATCGCATGATTGGTGTTCCAAGCTCATGCCTCGATGCTCACTGGGTCAACTCTGCTTCTTTGTGGGTTTTCAGAAAGCAGATGGAAACCAGAGGAGTTCTTGATCCATTTGCAGCTTATGCTTTCACATCCTTTGGAGTCTGAACCAAACTAGATTCGTTTGATCAAGGGGTTTTATTTATTACACCAGTGGGTAACACTCCCTCTCCTGAAACTGTATTTCCTGATCATAAGCATACCAGAATCTGTGTGCATTCACCTGTGTTTTGTGCTGCCTGCTGGCTTCCCCATGAGGAGTCACAAAGGAAACTTTAGCAGCACAGTTATTCTTGGGGCAGTTGTGTGGTGGTGCACACTCTACACCTCCCTGCTCTGGAAACAGATGGGATGTTCTTCTCAGTCATGCAACTCAAGGAACCTTTGGCCTTCTGGACTTACTTATTTGAGTATTGTAAAAATGTTGGTGTGATCATTTTTGGCTCTTCACTTACGCCTCTAGGTGGGTTGAAAGAGAAAACCCTAAACCAAAAATTTTGCAGTAGTTTATAAGATTTTTAATCAGTGAAACTGATTTTTTTCATCTATTATACCTGGACTTTAAATCCATGATGGACCTGAAACTTTCCATTGAGTGGAGTGATTTAATATACAGTGAGTTAATTTGACTTTTTATTTAGAACAATTTTCTTGTCCTGTCTTCACCATCAGTTCCTGGCTTAATGATGTCTATATTTTTCCTCTTATTGTCTAGTTCTAAGAAAGACTAACATTTATCTCTCCCTTAATAAAGTCTTAATAAAGTACATTTTCACTGTCATAGCTACCTGTGCATCTTCCTCACTAATTGTGTCTCTTATTGAGCATAGCTACTCCCAGGTCTTCAAAAGCTGCTCTGCACCTAGTATGTCACTGGAGACACATTCTGCAGGTCTGGGGAGTCTCAGTCCTTCTTTCTAGTTAAGGAACATTGTCCTGATTATTTCCAAGGGCACAAATCTTACCATCTTAATTTCTTTGACATGGGCCGAAGAAAAATAATTGTGACCCCAGAGTGACTTCCCCACTGCCAAGTCTAAGAATGATCAAGACCACTTCAGACAGAAAAATCAGCTGCAAAGTTTGGACCCTTATGCCACCTACTCAGGGCTGGAAGCTGTGCCCTAGACAATGCTTCATATTCTTCCCTTCACTGCTGTCTGAAGTGCAGATCTGGATTTGAACTTCTCAGGTTTGATGGGTAATTTGTGATCTGGGCTTTTGATTCCATTTCCTCTCTTTTTCCCAGCCCTTGGGTAGTTGCCCTTTCTGAGAACGCACGCTGCACACAAGAAACACCCTTCTTAAAAAACACAAACACTCAGAGTAGGAACACAGAGAACTGAAAGAGCTTCACCAAGAAGTTTTGTTTCTCTGTAAACCGTACATAGGAAACCTTGGCCTCTTCACTCCCTCAGTATTTGCTGTATTTATTTCTTTTTCTCCTCTCCAGATTGAGAGTACTTTCTGCCAAACAGAGAAAGGCTTTGTGAGATGAGGGACAGATCAGACTTATGCAGCTTGTAGAGTATGTGCTGCCTCCTTCTGAGGGCTGAAGGCTAATCTCTTCCTCCGCTGCCCTTCCTTCCCTAAAAAGCATCTCTTTTTAGTAATATCCCTCTTCTAACCCTTATTTTTTTTGAAAAAGGCTCATAACTGCTCTTGGCAGAACACAGCAGACATCCTGCCACTGGTTTTTCTTCAAAGGGGAACAGAGGAAAAAAGCAGAACTGACTTTTCAAAGGAAATTTGCTGCCAGAGCTGAGGAGAAAATGATAGAAGCGATGGATGTTTCCCCTCAAATTGAGGCTCTTCCCTCCCACTTCCCCCTCTGGTGGATATTTCCCCAAGCCAGACTCACATGAGGGTTGGTGCTGTCCCTCTCCGAGGCCATCCTTGCGTCCCCAGGTCTCTGTCTCCGGAGCAGCCGGAGCGGAGCGCTCTGTGCTCCTGGAGCCTCTGGAGCCAGGGCGCAGCTGCTGGAACAGTCCTGCTATTCATGTGCCGGCAGCCGCCCCTGGCATGGGCTGGGGGGCGAGACAGGGGCTGGCAGCCGATTCTTCATTGTCCAGGCAGCCCTGGAACAAGTGCCCCTCTTAGACTTTCCATGACACTCGTGTTCACGGCGTGTCCGCGCTACCTCTGCGAGCCCAGCTGAGCCCCATGAGCTCACTTGGGCAGGGACGTGGGGATGCAGCCAGTGTACCAAGAGGTTCCTGGCATGGGCTGAGAAGCCACAGCAGCCATCCCAATCTCTTCCCTCTCTCCCTCCCTCCTTCCCCAGCACACAGCAGAAGGTACAGATAAAAAACCAAGAGGTGAAAAAGTCCACAAAGCTGTGCCTGCTAGTTGCTGCTGCTGTTGCTAAGATAGTGTTACATCTCAGAGGAAATTCACACTTTATTCTTTTAACAGTCCCTTCTTCACATTTTCCTCCCCAGCCAAAATGCCCTTCCTTTTCCCTCCCCAACATTTTTTTCAGTTGAATTTGATATGTCTGGTCTTAGCTGAAATGAAAACTTGCTTTTCGCTGAAGTTAAAAACAGCTATGAAAGACACTGGAATGGAAATGTGTGCAGCCAGAATCAAGTCACAGTGTAGGAAAACATGTTGTTATTATTACTAGGTGGGTTCCTCAGGCAGAAATATCAGCAATAATTCTCTAGATTTTAGAGAAAGTGCTACTTTGTGCTACTTGCAAATCAGGTAGGCATGTTTGGCTTTTGAAGGAGAATTTCTGTAGTTACAGTAGCACAGAAAATTTATGGTAAGGAATATATTCTGTTTAAACAGTTCAGCCAAATGCATGTTCTAATACTCCAGCCTGCCTAAAAGCGCTGACAAGTCTGTCAGTAGATGATCCTGTTGCATTGATGCTTCCCAGCAAAAGGCCTCATTTTGCAGTGAAAATACTAGTGCTTAGTACTGCAAGTTCATTTCAAAATGCTGACGAATATAACCCCTCTGCATTCCTCTTATACAGCTTTTCTTTTTTTTTTTTTTTTTAAATGTACGGATGTATGAGCTGAAGCAGTGAGATGTGTTTAGGGACTGGGCTAGTGTTACACAGGAAAACAGGGCTGGGATACAGCTCATTTCATCCTTAGGATTTGGCCTAAGGCTGAAAGCCCATCAGGAACCATTAGGCTGATTCTATAATCAAAAGCCACCACCAAGGTTCCTACTTTTGAATGAAAATTGAGGTCCCTGCTTCTTGTTATCACTGAAGTGATTGTTTGAATTCTGCAGGGAAGTGCAGGTGAGGGGAAAGAGATTACTCATTGCTGCTCTCCAGCACGTATTGGCTTTTGCCTTTTTTTTTCCATAGTATAAAGAGCATTTAACTCCAAATGCAGCCATCTGCTCCTGTTGTTGACTTGCTGGCCTGCTAGGAACCTATATGTTAACTAAAATTCTCTGTGAGTATACTATTGCACAGATGCTAATATAGATAATTACCTGCTTTAATTTACTTTTTTTTACTGTAGTCTATAAAAAGATGCTATGGTTAATCAAGTTATAAATATATGTTGTTTATTAATAGATAATTTACCCTGGGTGAGTGCCAACTGTATTCATTATGGCATTCCTGGGAGTTAGAAGGGCTTCATCTTGTACAGGTCCTTTGTGAACAGGCTTCCAGCAAACAGCCCATGAAAGCTGGCCAAAGTTTTTTTGAGTTTTTATATAGCATAAAACCAACTAAAAAATACTTTCTAGTGGTCAGACAGGAATTAAGTATCTATGATTCCATTTAGTAGATGAACAAATATTACCAGTGCACAAATTTCAAGCAGGAGTGCATGATATATAACAATGTGTCTTTTTGAAACTGTTTTTTCTGAATACATCTAAATGCCATATGAGGAGCTTTTTCTTTTAACACACTCTCCAAGGAGGTATTGCAAAGAGTAGTAATCTTGTACAATGCCCTCAGAGTAACTACAGAAATCAGCCAAAACTTATGGCAACCCCTGTGTCCTTGTAAGTCCTTCAATCAAACCAGGTCCTCACTGCCCTCTCCCAGGACAACATGAGAGGCTTTCTGCAAATGTGCTAGTGGTAATGGCTGTACCAGCCTCCCTGGAAGTGTCAGGAACCAAACACATTCAAATGAGAAAACTCCAAATAATAAAATTACTCTTGGAAATGGTTTGTCTATGTCATTAATAGCAAAACTCAGAGCCAAAAAATGTGAGAAGAGAGGGGAGTTTATTTTAAAGTGGGTTATAATAGCTGCCCAAGAAAGGAGTGCCTCAATGAACACAGTTATTTAGATATACTTGTTTCTAAATGTGATTACAAACAGCCACATTTTCCAAAATATCTTTCCAGTAACTGTTTATTATGATGCAAGAATGCACCATTGTAATGGTCCAAAAGCTCAGGCATAGAACATGCAGCCCAGCTTCCAGAAGGGACTGTGTGACACGAGGAGTAGCACTCACCAGGTTCAGACTAAGCTGCCTCTGAACTCCCTTCTTTTGCATAACATAAGACAGGTGGGACACCTTTGAACCCGGGCTGTTCCAATGGTGTTGATTGATTGGAGACTCTTTCTGGTACAGCATGCTAGTGCAGAAATGGGTGGCATGGGGGAAGAGAAGCGTTCCCTGAAAGGAGGGTGGGGAGTATCTGAGGCATGACAGAAAACAAGTCAGTGATTTTCCTTGTGAGATCAGCCAGCCAAGAGGCTCTGTGGATCAGCCCCACGCACTTGGGAGCAGCACACATGGCAGAGTTGCTTATTTCCATGCCCATCCTCTTCCCTCCCTTATGCCAGCCCAAGCGCTTGCACAGCCACCCAAGAAACCAGACAGAACTTCTTCCAGCTGGAAGGAAAAATAAAGTTGCAGGCTATTTTTCTGGCTGGGATCAGCTCCCTGACCTGGTTCTGCACATAAGTGAGCAAACACTTCCACTGGCAGCAGGGAGGGCGTCCGGTGGGAAATGGAAAAAGCAGCTGGGAGTGGAGGAGGGTGGGGACGGGCCGGTTCCAGCAGCGCTGCAGTGCTGGATGTGTGACCACAGCGCTCAGCGCTGCTGCCCCGCTGGGGCTGCCTCCGACATGGGAAGAAGAGCTGAAATCTGTGGCCTTCAGCTCTATCCAGCAGAGACACCTGGCAGCAGAAGGCAGCCATGCTTATTGAAGGCTGAGTTCTTTGCAGAAGCTGCTCTCCGCTCTCAGATTTGTTGCAGCACTCCAGAGAGTATCCAAGATGGAACAGTTTCAGCAGGACAACTGCACTCCCAACAGGGAGACTTCACTTCTTAACTCTTGACAGGCCCTCGTCTTGTGTTACAAAAGTGGGTTGGGTTTGGTTTTGGGACACTCTTTCTCCACCCTGCAATTCTGGGTGACCTCTGCCCTATCTCAGGAAACAAGAGTGCTGCTGATCTGCTGTGGGTGCGTTCACCTGACTGCCTGGGCACATAAGAGTACAGCCTGACCTGTTCAGCCTTACACAATGAAAACCAAGAGGGATCCTGATGCTGAACTGGAAAACTCCAGAGAGATGGAAATGCAGCAATAGCACAGGAACTAATTAATAAACTGGCAAAGAAAAAGTGCTGGGTTAGAAAGCAGAGGAAGGTTTTTGGCTGCCTAAGTGCTCGTGTTCTGAAGAAACCAGCCAGTGAGAGCAGCAAGGACAAACAAGTGAACCAGACTGGGGATGGAGTTTGCTGAGTTTGCCACTGGGATTACCTGCTACAGCTGCCTGTGACAGCCAGGGACTGCCCCTGCCAACCCTTCTTGTCCCAGGTCCTCTTTTCTGTGTTTCAGAACACATAAAAAAAGCGAAGGTTTGAAAAGGTGGAAAAGCAAAGCTCAGCAGCACTGTAGTGCATGCTACTGTAGAAGTGAAGGCAGGTGCCTAGGTAGGCAAAGGCCCATTTTCTGTGGTTTCTTTAGGATTATTAGTCCTTTTAATTATTGGTAGGATTACAGCTCCTGGCTGGCCAGATTAGCTTCACCTGTTAGAGGAGAGAGCCACAGAAAGAGCCCAGTGTTGAGAAGAGTAATAATCTCAAGGAAGGCTCTGGAGGCAAGGAGCACACACGTGCAAGCAGTACCTCTAAAATTCTCCCAGAGGGTGAAAAGTGAACATGTATGTCTCCAATGAATCATTAAATTTTATGAAAGCAAGGCTAGAAAGGATATCAAAGAGTAACCTGTTCCTTCTCCAGCTCCAAGAGCACAGCAGGTCAGGGGTATCTGCCCTAGTAACACAGATGCTGATCCAGCCTGCTTTGAAAGTGCTCCAGACATGTTGATTTCCAAGGCAACCTATCCCAGTGCTTCAGTGACACCATTCTAGCAGTTATAAGTGGTTTTGCTAATACATAATAAAAAAAAGTCCTTGCTGCAATTTTAGCCTGTTATTCTTATCCTCTCCACGTGGGAGAGAAGAGATTATTTCCTTCCTCTTTGCTACAGTTGTTTACATTTTTGAGGACTGTTATCATGTCTCTGTTCAGTCTTCTCTGTCTTTAAGAAAACAAAAATTCTTTTGCTGTCTCCTCATAGGTTATATTTCATAGGTCTCTGAGTGCTGCTGTTGCTATCTGAACTATTTTCCTGTTAAATTATCAGAGAGTTTTGGACTGTTGGGAGTCTGCATTAACGCAGGTGAAAATGGTCAGAGGGGTGCAAGTGGGAGAAATAATAGAGGAATAATCTTCAGTGTATTTGGATTGATAATGGGAGTCGGGGCAGAGACTGTAATTTTTGTGGGGTCTGACTGAGTAGTAGTTTTCTCTTTGTCCTTGAGAGAAAATCACTATTTTCCTCCAGAAGGCCAGGACAGATTCTAGACCAGAAAAATTCTTTTAGCACTCTTCAACTTTTTAAAATGTTGTGGCAAACCACAGTGAGAGTGAGAATAAAGGCGGATCAGGTTGTAAGGAGACCAAGGTCACCTCCTGAAGCTCAGGTAACTGACTATTGATGATTCCCAGAAATCCTAGCAGCCCAGACTTGCTTTGCCTGACAAAAGAAGGATATGACCCATTTGCAGAAGAGTTTCTTTGGCCTCAGTGTTCTTTCCTGGTTGCTAGACTATTTGATTTTTTCTCCCTTAGTCAAAAATCTGCACCTGGAATGTAGATTGAGAATATTAATTAACCCTGGCAGAAGATATCACT